TTTATATATTTCTCTTAGATTTATATTCTTTTGTATTTCAACCTCTGTTACCTTGAACTGGTCAAAATATTTTTCTCTGTATTCTACTATCAAACGATTTTTCTGATTCCTTGCTCAGTGTCCAAAGTTCTGAATATTACGTTGCTACTGGGATAGTTATGAATGTACAAATTTACATTGGTACGGGGTACGAATCTTCTCTATTTCTAGAATCCTAGAAAATTTTATTTTCCTAGAAACCATTTTAACCACCTTCTTTCTACACTCTGCTTGATAAACCTTAGAGAAACTTCTTCCAAATCGTGCTGTCACAATTATATTTTCTCTTATACTTCAAGTATAAATTATAGTATTTAAACCATAATGATATTAAAGTGAGTTTTTGTTGCAGGATGATTTGAAGATACTGGAAGAGAAAATGACAGAATGTCGAAAGCTCTCAATTCAACTACGAATCGCTGAAAAGAAAATTTTACAATCCGCAATGGAGTATATACAACAAAGAGACAAGCCTTAAGTCATTGCTCAGAATTTAGACATCTTTGAATGCATTTTTAAGCTTTGGAAATTTTTTTTATTTTACAATCTGTTATCGTGTAAAGTTTTCTTACCTGGATGAAAACCACGAACACTAGCTTTATCTACTTCAACTAGTTAAATATTTCCCTTTGTTGAATTTTGATCAGTTTGATGATGGTTCTATATACTGTAGCTAACTTAGACAAGGAAATCGATAATTATTTCAACTGAAATTTTTTTAATTACATAGGCTTACTTATTTTGTGATTTTATTCATCAATAAAAGGCTGATCATAAGTATCAACTGAATAACAAGATTCTTTAGAACTAATTTGTAGCCCTATATCAACTGATTTATAAAATTACATTTTGTAAATTCAATTTTTTGTATTTATCAACTTAAAAGATATTTTTGTTAGTCTTTTAAAACTTACAGATCAAACTGAATTCTAGTCTATTCTGTACCACCTATTTATATAGCTCATTTTATACAAACAATATTCTGTTCTTTTAATTTTGAAAAAAAAAATTGATTACTTTCAGGCAACATTTTTAAATTCTACGTTTAAAGTCAAGAAAAATTATTTCTTTACCATTAAGATTACTATATACATTTTTTCTTTTGCACTACTTAAGTTTAAGGTTTAAAATTTATTTTAGCTTTAATTATCATTACTATGTTGGTGTTGTTTTAATTTAATTTATTCTTATTTTGTTTGCTTTGTTATTTTTATTGTTGTAATATTTGGTACCATACCCTTTGTTATCATGACATTAGGACAATAAATTGTTTTTTTATAAGTCAATCTGCAGTTAAGAATATATTTGTGCACAATTTCGTAACAATTCTTTATCAATACTGTAAAACTATTATTTTTCCGTTTTAAAGAAACAAAGTTATTTTATGCTTTTGCAATATTTTCTCTCTGACTTTACAAGTTTGTTTTTAAATTAATTATCTTTACCTATTCTGTAAATAAATATTTTATTGCAAAGTGTCTTCAGTAATTGCCTAACCCTAATAAAGTGTAAGGCCGCATTAAAGAAACACTTGTCTTACTTGTGAATAATTATACCTTTGGACTTATTTGTGTACAACTGACTGACTCTCAAAAAACAACTATAGTTGTGGACAGGAAACACTGGGGTAAAGGGTTGGGCCTGTACTAAGTCAAGTATGCTATATATCACATTGTTTTAAGTGTATTTGTATTGTTAAGAAAATCATTTGTTGCTATTGAATTTCCTACTCCCATTTAGTGTGAACTCAGTCAAGTGGCAGTAATATCAATTATCAATTATTTAAGATGGGGACGCCACTATGTGCGTATTTTAACCCAAGGATGAGAGTAGGAATAAAGGACTGGTGAACAATGCAGGGACACAACCCTTTGGTCAAAAGGTTGTTTGTCCACGCCTGTAGTTACCGATTGGCGATTCATGTTAAAAAGCTTCTGTTTGTGAACATAATGTAAATGTAGTGATATATGATTCTACTCAAACTTAATTATTGAAGCTGAATGGAATACTCTTATATGTGGATTTTAAAAGACATACTCATAAAACACAATATTTACAGTATACAGTTCTTAACAAACTAGCTAATTTTTTTTTACCACATAACACAAATTGATAATTTTAAAAATTCAAATTTTAACTACGCCTATCATATCTTACATCGATGTGATACTTATAATAACCGACTACTGTGATAGCTTAGCTATTGACACCGATTTACATGTGCTCGTCACTGCATTCCTCCGCGAAATAGATGTATTGCTAACCCACTGGCTCTCAAGTAGTACAGTACTTGGAATCCAACCTACGAGTGTTAGTGTCATGGAAGATGGTGACGTTTCTTTTTTCCGCGGGAGATATAAACTTCATCATCGTCCATAGAATTTGACTGCATTTGGGGAAAAAGGTAATGTTTCCGTGTTTGCGGGCAGATATTAGGGATTGGGCTGCGAACGCAGGAGACGATGATGTTGTTATCTGATAATGCCCTAGCTTTTGTTTCCATGACTGCGGGAAGTGACGTGATATAACCAGTAAGTAACTGGTTAAAACGTCAATATATATTTAAAATAACATCTGCTGAGATACCGATTTTAATTGATTTCAATAAGACTGATTTTGATTTATAAGTTATTTTAATTTATTAGTCATGTGTTTTAATTGTTTCAATAATGTAAACAAGTTTAGTTTGTTGTTTGGATTTGTAAAGAACACAAGCTTATTTTGGTGTTAAATTAAATCCTGTATTTTGTCATTCCTGAATTTTATTTTGTCCGTGATATCACAATTAAGTGAATTGTGTACAAAGACGACAACAGAAGTACGGTATTCATGATTTTGCCGGAATAATGGAAAACGATGATGACACCTCGGTGCCATGGGAGATGCTGTTGCCAAGCAAAGATGCAAGTTAAGGTGGAAATACCTGTGATAATGTTTTTAAAGATTATTGGGAGAGGGGGGCCTGCGGGTTTTTATCGCTGCCACTGTAGGCAGGCATTCAGGATATATGACTGTGGCGACTTGCACCACTTCTTCTCGAGTCCCTACTCCTTGGTGAGCATATACTCGTGGTCAGCTGTGGGTCAAAGCCCTGGTAGCTCAGCTACCTGTAGACATCAACGTTGTGTCGTTCGCAATATCGTAACCAATGAAGTTCTTCTTTACTGAGGTGTGATTATTAATAATTTAAAACATCTATTGATACATAAAATTTAGGCCTACTCTGAGATTATTGTAAGAGCGGAAAAGATTATCAAGTATTGGGCTCTGAAAAAAAGAAGACTATAAATAAACGTACTGGACTAAGGCTCTCCAGAAATTTAAAAATATTACCCTGATGCAGGATGCAGGAGCAAATTTTAAGAAGTTTGGAATTATTTTTAACCTCTCAGACATGTTTTTTCCAACTTCACGTGTGTTGAACTGATTAAATCGAATCAGTGCAAGCGTTAATTTTTAGAACACATAGTTTGAGGCAAAGATGAATATTGTTTGTACGATATTATTACTTATTACTTACTCAAATCAGCTGATCTGTTAGCCAGAATTATTTCATAAGCGAGTTTAGAAGCTACTAGCCAACCTTTTTACACGCAGGTCAGAAACTATAGTCCGTTCACAAAATTTAGGCGGTTCGAGAGGAAGTTCCTGCACTACTATTTTACTTAATGTATATGTTGCAGTTGAATGACGTTTTGGCAAACATCAGCTGTTGAGCTATTGTTTTAAAAATGGGATCAAGTGGAGGGGATAAATTTCTTCCCCTAAAACCGCCCAATTTTTGTAAATGGCATATGAGAAGTACATTGTACTTGCTTGATAGCTGCTATTGGAAAAGTTGACACTACCGGAAACCTAACACACCACTTCCTGGATTTTGAGCTTACTAGATCGTAAAACTATCCACAGGAACTTACAGTTTCTTGTGCATGAGCAACAATTAGGATTATTCATGATGATGTAGGAGGAATTGGGCAATAGGGGAGTTGTATGCTGTACTCGCCTACAAGACTGTTTTTTTATTTGCTGAATAGTGACTTGTAAAATCGAGCCTCAAGCACTTGGGATTCTTAATCCAGGTTTACATGCAAGACAATATTGACCCTTGGATCTTTTTTTTAAGATTTTTGTCAGATTTAAAGAAAGGCCTTAATACTGAAAAGAAGTACACTTAAAACTTCATCGTGTCATAAAATTGTCTCTTAATTGTTTTCGCGTATTAAGAATTATGTACAAGAATAAGCTTTGCAGGCACTGTGCTGAAAACAATACAGTAGGTAGTTTACTTGTGAAGCATTAAAATGTGAGCTTTCAAAATTCTTGAAATATCGTGAATGCTACTTAATCTAATATTTTATTTATTTAATGTCAAAAAACTTGGCATGATTTTAGAATATAAAATCATTATTATAAACATAAAGTTATGTTTATGGGTAAAAATTATTAAAAAAATATCAAAAATTATAAAATATCGGTATTTTAAAGATATACAATTCTATGTATATAAACTTAAACATTTAACAAACGTCCCAAACCAAACTTGGTAGTTTTTGGCCTATATACAACAATTGACTATTGGATACGTATTAATAGTCAAAGATACAACTAATAAAAAACCATCCCAAACATTAGTTTTAAACTATGCACAAATTACTGCAGTTCAGAATTTAATTTAAACTTAGTCTGCAAACCATTGTTTGATCAACTACAATTTTACTTCTTATTTATCGTAAAATGTCAATCAAGTAATTCAACTTCCTAGAATAAACTAAAAATGACAAACTAAAATGTTACTTAAAATAGTTGAAGTGCAAATATATTGTTCTATAACAACTACAATTTGTCTTAGTTTTGACTATTACTACTACAACGGTCAAGCGCTAGTAGTCACGGAATCAGCTGATCAAAGTCATGATCAGCTGTCGTACAGTCGCACCGCGCGCATTTCGCGCTCAGTTGAATCAGTGTTATTGAAATGCACGTGTGATTTAATTACAGAATGGATTTAAATAGGAACAGAAGTGACAGAGAGATAAGAAGAGATGAACTACCGAATGGACGGACACATTTGAGAGATGAACAGCTGAAATTTCTGATAATTGGAGATTTTGGTGTTGGTGAGTGAATACTTTGTTTGTGTTATCTAGATTGGTGTCAAAGGTTGTTTTTTAGCTTTTACTATCACTGATTATGATTGTGTAGTAACACTATGAATATAAATTGTTAAATATTTTTATTTATTACTGCGACGTAATAACAGTTAATGACAGCATAAATGGTTTGTGTTGTTAAAATGTTGGATAGCAGTAAAAACCTCTATGATTAGGACACTAACCATTCGCCAGTGTTTCTGAAACTACCAATAATGAAGCAAATATTAAGTATCTGCAATCACTAAGATTTACGTGATGTACTCTATATTTTACTGTGGTAGGTAATGCGATTAACTTCTTTATTTATAGTTTATCTCGAGTTATATTATATATGTCACTAAACAAAAGTGACGTGCATGACAAATAATCCAGGAAAAAGTACAATTGACCTACATTGTATAACGAGTTTAAATTCTATACGGTATATACGATAATATATTCACTAAGGTTTATTTCAGGTAAAACAGCTATAGTCCGCAGATATGTTGATGGTAAGTACTATAAAAATTATTTTATTTTGCCTTTATTGTTCAGAATAAACATTATATTGTAATTAACTAAATTAAGTATTGTTCAACAAGCTTGTTTAATGTTATCAATATTGTATAGTAAACCAAGTCTATGTATGTGTTAGAAACGTACTAAAACTGATTATTTCTCAATTCGCATTTACAATAACAGAAAAAGAAAACCCGTACTGTACTGGGATATATGTTATAGTGTGTACCGGCACGTCTGTGATGCCGGTAAAATGTTTACGGATGCGTTAAACAAGAAGTAATTTAATAACGATTGTTTAAATATGTTGATTTACAAGTATGTATTTATCGTATTAAATAAAACCTTACCTATGTCATGTACCCTATCAAAATATGTTTCGGAATTGTGTTTATTTAATCCAATATTCTAGTCCAGGGTTGGAACAAGCCTTTTAAAAAACGTATAAATACACTATTTTGTATAAAATTTCAATCAATATTTTGCTAACAAAAATTTAGAAACATAATTATCATAACAATTGAATTATAAAATGTATAACAGGAAAGTGTTATGTCAACAATATAGATTTTATGAGCGGATTTTAATTTCTCGACTCGGTACTTTAAGCTCATTTTTCAACGGTGAGGTCCAGTAAATACTTGACTTAACAAAACATTTATACAGGCTCCGAATAGTCATTTTGTAAAAAAATAAATTGTCAAACTTAAAACAAGAATTGTCAGTTTAAACACAATGAAACCCGTGTAAATAGTTAAATTTGTACCAACAAACTTTTGGAACGACAGAAATTTCACTGTATACTTTGAAACGTTCTCTACATTTCTCTATTAGTTAATGTATGAGTCGCTTGTGTATCCAGTTCATCCAGTTTATCTAGTTTATTTAGCCTGTTTACCTAATTTCTCTCATTGCTACGATTGAGCATGTGCAACAGACTGAATGCGACCGGGTCGACCCAGAGCTTATTCACGTCAACAAACAAAAAGTTTACTCTCGCCGAGGTTCAAATCTCAGATAACGCCTGTCCCAGATTAGGTTTGTTTGTACAGAGGCTTATTGTTTGTCCCAATGCTTACAACAGTAGTGACATGTGTCACAATGTTATTTTGTAATGTTAAAGTTTTTACGTTTATGAAGAAATTTGTTCAAATAATTTAGATGAAGGTTTGGAAAATAAATCAGGAGTGGATTTCAAGTTATAACTTAGTCTTAGAAATTCCTGTTTATGCCTTTTGCTTATTGCACTTTAACTATTGTTATGGCAATTATCAACATTAGTCTACTGTTTTATGACTAATATGGTATACTTAGGATTAACGAATTTGTTACAGGGTTACGTGATCGTTTCTCATCAGTTTTTTTTATTTGGTCCGTGAAATATTAAAACTCTATGCTTATTATTTCAGCAACATCAATTCGTTATTTTGAATATATTATAATTACTAACAACGTAGGTACATGATAACGTAAAACTTTAATTTAGCAAAAATATTTTATGGTTTTAAACATACCAACACTTGACTAGACGAGTTTCAAACAAAAAAATATGTTTTCGTACTCAGACAGTGAAATAAAATCTAGCATACCAATTGAAGAAAACTCCCCGAAGGTCGTACGATAAAAATTAAATTAATTTGAATTAATATCGTGATTTTTTTTAATCATTGCATAAGAGTAAATATATAAACTCAAATTACTAAAAAAAATCTAAAATCTAAATTTTAATCAAGCGACCAAAGTGTTTTATTCGACAATGGAAAAATTACTGCTACAACACAGGTTAAAATGTATTACAACAAATGTTGAGATTTTGCATGACTTTTTTTCTCAATTGTGCGTGTAATTCCGACCCAAATGCACTGCATTGAGTGATCATTCATTGCATTGGTCGATTCAATGATGATCGGTTACGATTCGGCACTGCATTCAATGCAGAGTTGAGGTGGACTCTTTAGTTTGGACCTGACTGCGTGGATCGGTAAATTCCGTCCGCGTGAATCATCAACCCAACGATATATCGACCTCTGTAGCGGATCATTCCCACTCTCAGGGGTGCTGTGCTGAGTGTACAAGTTCCGGAAACTTTGAGAAATCGTTTAGACGCAAAATTACAATTTACTTATCCGGAATCCTTCAAAAAGTCCGTGATTTTATTTTTAAACCATTGCAGACGCAACGAAATCAGAAAAGGCGAGTAGTATATCGAATTATTGGTCTCTAATACAACAAATTTTAGGTCCATCCAAGCCTAAATCGTGGAAGTTTAAGCAGACTTAGTTAGCTTTGTTCGATAAGTTCAAGATCAAAATTTTAAACCGCCGCCGTTTTGGCTAGGATGGACCTTTTGATGTCGGGTTTGTGACACTGTTTTCTCCTAATAATTATATGAAGTACCAATAATTGGACCCATACAATTCTTCATAAAATCTTAACTTGTGTGTCCTGTGTTTTAGTTTACCGAACCGTCTAACACTGATCTCTGTGAAACTTCCAGTAACTGTTTCTATATGACAAATTCCTCGGAAGGAATTTCCCCCAAACAAAAACTTAATTCACTCATTTAGTTTCAAAAGTAATCATAATAAACTTATAAACGTTTATTTTCTTGATTTTTCATGGAAATAGTAAGAGAAAGCTACATTGTTTACATTTTACAGTTCCTAACAATAATAACAGACAGACTAATCAAATAGAATATTTTGTAAAACAATCGTAAAGTTTATTTCTTATGAAACCGTCTATTTTACGAAATATCTAATACGTTATAAACATTGGTAATATGAGCTGACTGCTGTTTTATAGCGGCTTGGAACGACATTTCCGTACAATAGTTTTAATTAGGCTTATATTCCACAGTTGTTAATCCTTTTAGTTAAGCCTATAATTTTAGTGTATTGTTGAAAAATAAGTGCTGGTAGTTAAACAGTTTTAGTGGACCTTGGAGAGTTTTTCAGTATCGAGTAATATTTTTATTTGTACACAGTTACTTTAGAGAATGAGTGAAATAATTTGGCTGGCAGATTGGCCTATCTTGAAAATCCACTCTGAAATGGTGCTGGTGCATGCACTCTGAATGTAGCTGCATTTCAAGACATTATCTTTAATTATTAATTGCTATGATAATATAATAAAGTGGCTCGGTCTACGTAGTGGTCAGAACACAATGCTTTCTTTCATGGAGATCTTGCAATACCGCTCATTACCAATGGATTTCTTCCTTATGGAAATGTCGATTCACTCCTTGAACCTTCCTAGAAAAAATATGACTCACAGTCGAGGAAAACTCTTCGTGTTGGAAAACTTCTCCCTCATATAAGCCATGCAATGACACATTCTACCACAATTAGGTAATGTCTAATAGTCAATTATAATCGTGATTTCCCTGTATCCGACTCAGAACTATAACAGTGGTTCTCTTATCTATCACTAGAGAACAACCTGACCAAATATAGATCAATGTACACAGTGATGTAACTGCACAAATCAATATTTATTGAATAGTCCACGTCCACTAGAACTGTTTTGAATTGCTAGGGAATTAGAAACAATATGTTAACAAATATTTACTTTTGACTCAAAATAAAACTGATTTCCAAATCTTGGCGATAGGAATTATTATGGTGCCAAACAACTTAAAATTGATTCATAAAACCCTTTTTGACCTCTATCTAGACCAAAGGTCGCGGTGTAAAAAATACTGCCGTGACGAAGCAGTTTATATTTGTAACTGACATTTTGAAATATAAATAATAGTTGAGTATTCCCATTACTAAATTGTAATATTTATTAAGGTCCATGACACAGCAATTTCAATGTTTGATGTATAGGCGGCCAAAGAGGCCTTTTAATGAAACTCAGATGAATAAATCTTCAAAATTTATAATAGGACGGGATTACTTGTGGTATCTATAGCACACATTGTGAGAACCAAGGTGTCTGTGGTAACCGTGGTAACACATGATGTGGTTGTGATCTTGCTCTGGACCACAGAAAAACGTAAGCTTTACAAAAACTCGCCCCGACCAGTTAGGTTGACTGGTCACTTGATCTGCTTACAAAGTGTGGTTTTGCATAATAAGCCTTATAACTAGGAATTGCATAGTATCCGCACTGATATAAGGGATACAGTTGAACCTCGTTTGTACGAACCTCGTTAAAACGAATTCCTCGATAAGACGAATTTTTTTTAATCCCCTTGACACTTTCATATAGGTCAATGCTAAAAACACCTCTATACAACGTAGTAATTAAGTTAAAAACCTCCATAAGACGAATTTGTTTGTGACATGGGCTAGGACTGATTAACCTCTATACAACGAATATTCTTAGCACAAAACCTCTACAAGACGAACGTGACCTCTATAAGACGAATTTATCATAATCTTAACCTCCATAGTACGTAGTTTTCAAAACAAACAGAAGCTTGTCCCAACATGAAACCCCCACCCATCCCTCCTCCTTCCTCAATCATTGTTTGGAAAAACCTTGGAGCAAGGAGAAACCTCTATAAGAAGAATAACAGCAGCATTAAACCTCGATAAAACGACCCTCTTTATTAAGAATACCTCTATTGTACGAATATTTCCCGTACCCCTTGAAATTCGTCTTATAGAGGTTCAACTGTATTCAGGGTGTCCAGTAAGTTAACAGGCCAAGTTACAGGGCCATGTTAAAATTTTTTAATTAAACCTTTTCAGTAAAACTTAAAAACAAATGTGTTACTTTACATTATTTATACAATTTTTTATAAGCCTGTTATTAAAATATGTACACTGCAACAAAGCTGTTCAGTTTTTTGGGACACCCTGTATTAAAAGTTCAAAACCAACATACCGTATTGTCAAATTATTTTTCCTTCATAACATTGTTATTTTTGGAACATTTTGTTGCAGGAAGATTTTCTTCAAACTATAAAATTACTATAGGTGCAGATTTTACTTTGAAGACTGTCCTTTGGAATGGCGAAACAAGAATTAATGTACAACTTTGGTAAGTAAAATTAATGCACACAAAAACGTTTAACATTTTTCATCAATTTTTATTTCCTTATGACACTGAATACATTTTTATAAGTTATTACATGATAGAAATGTTCACATACGCCCACAATTTGTGTGGTTTTACTCAGTCTAACTTTATGTGGCGTTGTTATTCCTTAGAGTAAAATTCTTCAAAAAATTGTATTTTTCTGATTACTCTATACCTTTGTGCAAAATATAATTAATTTATATATTTGAAGGCAAATTTCACAAAAACCGTTTATTTAACAAAAAGGTTGCAAGATGAATAATATTTTGGAAATGTTATGAAAATTTCAACGATGTCTTATATAAGCTTAGTTTGAACAAAGAATAACTGAGAAATTAATTTCTTTCTTGATACAACTACAGTTTTCTTTATATAAACAATATTAAAAATAGGTAGTTTTATCAATTTAACATAGATGGGGACACCCTACTTAATTCCGGGGGGTTATGGAACAACACAGCTGTGTAGAGCCATGTTGACTAACCTAACCCCAACTGCTATCCAACCACCATCCTTGCTTGAGGGAGAGGGTTTATAGTGCGTTCACACAGCCGTGGCACCTGAGGGATTAGGAGGCCCCAAGGGTTGCCATGGGGTGTCCTAATCCGTCAGGTGCCACGGCTGTGTGAACGAGTATAGTAGAGGAGAGTGTGTGTGGTTCATATTTAATAATGAAAATGTCTACAAAAATGGCTCGGTGTATATAGACCTATTGCAGCCAAAGCACGTTCTTTATATTTCTGGCATGATTGTCCCACTAAAATGTAAAACTGGCTTGTATCATTTCTAGTACATACAGCATTAAATCTGTTCTATTTCTTCAGGTGCTTTTTGTTCTTTTCAGATAAAAATACACACCCTTTTAGAACCAGTGTTGTTGCTGTTGGTAGAGTATGTAGGTGTTTTCATAGGATGAGGATGAAAAGCCAAGATTATTTTATGACTAATAAAGAGTACAAGGATTCATAAGATATATGGCTTCTTGGCCTTCTATGAAGGTCCAAGGTGTCCCCAGCAAAATGTATCAGGTTGAATTGTTTTCCTTAGGTATTTTATGTGAAACATCACCTTTACAAGCCTCTATAACACCTGAGAAAAGCTGAACATGGTATAATACTGTACCATAAACATTTTTTTGTAAAACAATTATTTATCAGTCCAATAATCAACTTTATACCTGTAACTTAAATGTCAATATTTTCTAGGGATATAGCCGGTCATGAAAGATTCGGCTATATGACAAGAGTCTACTACAAATCCGCGTAAGTAGCTACTCGATACCCAATTGTGATAACTGATAGTAGTTTCATCAGATCATTGATTTGGATAAAAATAATAATTTTATAACTTAATCTAGTGGAGTAACCTTGAACACTATGTTCACAGAGTTGGGGCCGTTGTGGTGTTTGACCTCACAAGAAGTGCTACAATACAATCTGTTACAAAGGTATACAACTTTACATTGAATAGCCTTTATTTACCATACTGTATTTGAGTAGTTCACATAGAAAAAACAGCTAAGTTGGTCTATCGTAGTATGTATTATAATTTTATTTACAATCTGTTCAGCTTTTTGATCATTTAGTAAATACAATAACTAAAGTTATACTGTTAGGTAACATAACAAACAAGCTTGTTGGTCTCAATTTCCATTGACAGATCTAACTTTAAAAAGATTTCAGTGAAAATATAAATAAAAATTCCATTAAATATATATCTGTCTGTTAAGTATTTGATTGTCATATAAAATGTACTAGTGGCTTTGCAGGAGAAAGCCCCTGAAAACACTTGAAAACTATTATTGTAATGTTATAGGTTAATAATACCCCCGCAAACTTGCAGACTAAGTGAATTTCCATTTTCCCGATTGGTTTTTCAATTAAATATATTTAAATAACATTATAATTAACAAGTACCTAGGTTTGCTGCTACAGGGCAATAAGCATTTGCAAATGTTCAAAAATTAATTTTTTGGAATTTTTATTATTAAAAAAGAACCCCGTTACTTGTAGAATATCACAGTAAAGCTAATTTCATAACGAGTAAGAAAATTCAACCGGATAAGGGCTAAGTGAATTTGGTATAGGAAACACAGAGTATTAAAAACATATTGTTTTTTCCAAATAAACTGCTGCCATTTTGAAACCGAAAAAGATAATTAATATCTGTTTTCGCCAAAATGTTTATCTATTAAATACCTTGAAAATGATTTATAACATCACATATTTTTAAATTTGAAAATTCCAAGATTCGAACTGACCCTCAGTTTTCGGCACACCCTGTATCGGAAATATGTTTACGTTATTCCTTGGGGTAAATTTAGCAGGTAATAATTTTATTTCATCCTTGTACGTTAAGCCGTTTTTCCGTAATCAATTCGAGACACCTTACGTCGGACACTCTGTATACATATATAAAAGTTTGAACGAATAGTGTTTTTGGTCTCTGGGGACATCAAAATGAAAAGTAAATTGGTCCCAGGCCCAGGTCTTACCATGAGACCAACGGTAATAGCTACTTCCCTATAGGGAAATTCGCTAAAACAAACTTAAGAATCTATCTGTCAGAATTTCCTTAATAATTATTTTGGATCACAATGTGGGCTCAATGTATGGAACAAAGTTTTGCCGTACTCTCTGAAAGGAACTGTCAATTGTCAATTGAGTTTCCTTCAGTTGAATCAAAGTTACTAGTGATTTTATCTAGGGTTGGCTTTATTCTGTGATTATATGTATAAATTCATATTTATGTTATCTACGAATCTTCCAATTCATCACTTTCTTCTTGTGGTTGTGACTCAGTGGTTTTATTTGTGACACAGTGTTTTTTATATTTGTGACTCAGTATCGTAGCTTTTATTTCTTACTCAACTCAGTGGTTTTTTACACAGTGGTTACATGACCTGAGAGAGAAAGTGACTCTAGCAGACGGGACTGCTGTGCCTGTGGTGTTGATGGCTAACAAATGTGATGTGACCAGCAGTGTACCTATAGACCTCATCACAAGGATGTGTCGAGAGTACAATATCGATGGATGGTTCCCCACGTCCGCCAAGGAGAACTTCAACATAGGTAAAGTTGTTGGAATCCATGGTGGTTTTCGGCACTGTCCTTCCGAGATTGACAATCAGCCGAAAACCGCTATGGATTCTGATGGCACTGGCTATGAAAGCCTAAGACAAGTCAACCTAGAATAATGAAAAATTGTGATCAAACAAGGGATGTAATATAGACTGGTACAGTATTCGACTGAGGTTTGAGGCTGATATGGGACAAGCTCACCTTGATCATAGGGTCTCATATGTATGTATCTCGTGACAAGTTGAAAATGAGGGGTATTAGGATTTCATTTTCGCAGCTTCCATTTCAATGATCAAGTCTGGAGCTGCGAATCTGTACTGTATCAATCAGTCGTATATACTCCATACATTGTAAAGTGTATTAACAGAATAGCTATGAATACATTTGAAATAGAACATAATACAATTTTTATTTTAAATATACTTTTAGCGAATTTCCCAAATAGGGAGAGCTATTACCATAGGTCACATGGTAAGATCTGGGCCCGGTTTTCTTTTTAGTTTTGATGTTCCCAGAAGCCAAAAGTACCATCCATTCAAATTCATATATGCCCTTGGTGCGACAACTTAAGTAAATATGAATTGATATTGATGAGGTTTAGTACAAAAGTGTAAACATACAGTTATTCAAACAAGTAACCAGCATGATTAGACTATGGGAACGGGGTCTTGTGGGGAGTTTATGTGGATAAAAATAGGGTTTCCTATCATTTATCCTCCAAACATAAAGTTTTACGTTGTAGAACAAACTAAAAATTCTGACATTGAATTAAGCATTGTTGTACAATTAATGTGTTACAAAGAATTTGCTTTTATTCCAACACTGTTTACATACCTACTTTAATTGTGATAGAGGATTATGTTTAAAGTGAGTCTCATCATTAACAATTATTGAATACATTTATTAGTAAAAAGTAATACTGTACTTTGTGTTTTCAGGGAAAGCATTTGATTTCCTGATCACTCGAGCGCTGCAGACTAAAGTGCCTGATCCAATCTACAAGGAAAATATTATTTTAAATCAGAAAACAATTTTTGATAAAAAGATCTACATCAGAAAGCAAGGCTGTTGCCACTGACTGGGGTTATGCAGTTCAACATTTCAACACCCTGGCTACATACACTTCTAGTCATAACTTTTTTTATAAGAACCCACCAAATACTATTTTTTTATGATTTTTTACATCTGTATCCATATTCTGTATGAATTAGTTTAGAAATATTACATGTTAATGATTGAAAAGTACGAGGGGCCGTTCAATAGCACTGCAGTTGGCGAGTACACCTTTAAAAACGTGGCACGCCGCTTATAGTCCTCGCCACCCTAACTTGAGGCAGCCCAAAGTAACCTGCAGGGTTATCGGCTGATCCCACTCGACCCATTTACAATCTTATTAGCAACACTTCCGTGAACGCCAGAACGCCATAGTTCAATAATAACATTAATAAAATTATAATCTGATGTGTTAATTTAATCGTTTACGTTAATGACATTGATTTAACAAAACATTTCTGTTATTGTCCCATCTAAAACAGACAATGTTTACGGTTTATACTAAAGTTACTTGGTATTTTGTTAATAGCGCAAAACCGTAAAAATCGTCCGTTTTAGATGGGACATAAATAGAAATGTTTGTTAAGTTTATGTTATTAATGTAAACTTGTAAATTAATATACAGTAGACTCCCTCTTATCCGGACTCCTTGGGGCCGAGGCTAGTCCGGATACCGGTTTTCCGGTTAAACCAAAGACACCAAAAACTAGTTAAAACGGACCGTTTTAATGTATACTACAGTATTTGACTTCAATTTAGGAGAACATTGTATTTAGAGTTTTAGACACAGGATCACTGGTCTCAAATCTTTCCTACGAGAACGGTCGTTTCAGTACCGCCCACTTCCTGCCGATCTACCGTTAAACTGATGTGCTGATAAAAATTTTCAGGTTAAAGAGATGTAATTTCTGCCAAGTGTAGTCCGGTTAAACCGATGTACGGTTGAAAGGTGTCCGGATAAGAGGGAGTCTACTGTATCAGATTATAATTTATTAATGTTAATATTGCACTAGGGCGTCCACGGAAGCGTTGCTAATAGGATTGTAAAAGGGTCGTGCGGAACCAGCCGGTAATGGCCCTGCAGGTCAGTTTGGGCTGTCTTAAGTTAGGGTGGCGAGGACTCTATCACACGATCCGGCGCCGCCACGAGACACTCCACTCCTGTATCTTTATTACTAGCAGATCACCCGTGCTTCATACGGGGTTGGAATAGAAGTATAAAATGCTTATTGTAGTTGTTATACTCAAGATTTGCGTTTGCAATGGGGGAGGACACAGTTTGATAAAACTTGGTTATTTAAATTTACGGTAGTACTTCATATCTACCATAGCCATAATTTCCTACCACTGCACCTAGGAAAAACAATTATCAAACATTTGCACAATTTAAAAAATTATTCATTAAATTAAAAACTTAATCATAACTGTAAACAATCCTTCTTTGACAGTCCTCATTGTGTATCACAGCTTTTTGTTGCTGCTTGGTTCAAATAAATAAATAAAAAATTGTGCTGCACCCTGTTGGTAAACCTTTTGTCTTTTTAGCGAATTTCCCATATAGGGAATAAGCTATTGCCATAGTACTCATGGTAAGACCTGAACCCGGGACCAATTTAATTTTTAATTTTGAGGTCCCTCGAGGCAAAAAACACCATCTGATCAAATTCATATATATGTGTGTGTGTCCGTTAGCGCGATAACTCGAGCAAAAATGATCCGATTTTAATGACATTTGGTACAAAACGTGTAAACCTACGTTTATTCGAACAAATTCGCGATCCAGCATAATCGGACCATGGGAATGGGGGTTTATGGGGTAAAAATGGGGTTTTCCCTTTTTTGACCCTAAAAACAATAAAAAATGCAATTTCTTTTAAAAACCGTTTTGTAGAGCTTAAAAAAGAAATAATTTAGTATATTGGAACGCTGTTATATGCCTAACGGTAAAAATTCTCATGTTATTCTTATGGAGAAAATGAAAATTGTTGTAGGCCTAGTTTACTTGTTTATGGATATACATTCATTTAATTTGGCAAATTTATTTATTTCACCCTTTACTATTGACGTACCGGTATGCATACTTTCTCCCATAAGCTTGTCAACAACCTATTTCATAAGCAAGCGGTGATAGTATAGTTAAAAATCACAAAAGCTGAAATAACTTTTGAACTGTAATTGTTACAGCAATGTATGGTGTTGTACGATTTGTTTAGAATTATAAGGACAATTAATTCTGATCCAAACCAGTTTATCTCCAAAAAACAGATTTTTTTGTTATTTTATGGGAAAATAACATAAGAAAACAATACTTTCTCCATAATACTGTACTATGGTATAGGGGGAGAAAGTAAAAAGTCCGGGAAAATTAATTGAACTGTTAAAGCAGTGTGGCTACATGGTTAGTTTAGTTTAAACCAAGCCAGCTTTACAAGCAAAAGCAAACTAGGTAAGAGGAAGAAGAAGAAGAGAAACAGAACAGACTGTCAAGTGTCAATCAGAATCACACAACAACACAGAACACAATAATATTTAATATTTATTTAGTACGACGACACCGACTTATAATGTTGGTTTTCAGTGGTTTAATTAAGTTAATCAATATACGAATGTTATTATAATATGATCTGAAGTGAAATTCATCTAAGCTTTACGGAATCAAATGTTACTTTTAATGGTATGAAGTCCCGTTTTCTCTCTAGTCCTAGCCTAACTTATTTATCTTGTTGAGTTTTCCTAACCTTTGTTTATCCAAGTTCATACTAAAGGCCAATTTAATATTTTGTAGGCTAGGCCTTCAATGTGTCAAGTTTATGGGGAAAATCAGTTATTGTAAGTTGAAGTAAAATTGAAAGTGTTGAATGACCTAATAAAATTTAGATTTTTGAAGCTAACTTAATTAGCCTAGACTAATTTATTTGTTTTTTGATTTTATTTTCGATAGCCTATGGAAGGCTTACAACAATATGCAACCCCTATCTTTCAATATATACTTACATTATATACTTACAATAACTTACCCTTCCATTTAATACCTAAATCACAATAAATGGAGGCAGATCCTATAAGTGTAATATTGGTTAAAAGTGACAGCAAGGGTGATAGACTTTTGTTTCGGTATCCATATACCAAAGATGGTAGGTCCGAATCAAATCAACAACATCGTAAAAAGAACCCATACACGTTAAATACAACAGAAGACATCTTGCAAGGCCCAGCGCCACAAACATTTAACATTGATAAAGGACACCTAACTGGGTTTACGGATGAAGTGCTATCAACGTTGTTTGCTGTAAAACAAGAGTTATGTGAAGCAAAGTTTGAACTAAAAGTAAATGATGTCAGGTTTGTTGGACATCCAACACTCTTACAATCAAGCCTAAGAAAGAACTCTTCGGACAGTAAACAAGGAAATCCATCATGTGTGTTGATTCATATTGTGTTTGCTTTACAAGCAGTTGCCAATCATTCTATCGTTAAATGTTACTATGACCTAAGCAAGAGATTGGGTGTTGCATTAAGACATGAAGAGAAACGGTGTGGATATGTAACTGATCAGATGAAGCAAATGATTCTCGCTCATGACGAAGTTACAGCCAGGTAATCTATAGTTTTTGGACTTTAAATTTCAAGATATCTTTTTACTTTTGGGGTTTTTGTAGCATCTACACCAGTACAGTTCCGTGGAGAACTTACGATAGGCCCATATCATTGGATGAAATGTTAGTTTTATAAGTATAATTATCAATTAAAATAGCCTTAAAAGTTATTGATTAGTAGTCTAAATATTGATTTTCTGTAATAGGTCTTTTAATTTTTAAATAAACTTAGGCTAGGTACATAGTAGCCTACCGCACACGGGTCGTTCCATGTCAAATCAACACACTTACGATAAATATTTTACCTCACCATCTCAGATTTTGCTGAAATTTGGTATGCTCACAGAGGGTAGGTACTAAAACTAACAAAAATACAAAATTTTAATTTTTTTGGTCAAACGGTTTAAAAGTTTATGGCTATGTTAACTTGTCAAAAAAACATAGAAAATCGGTAAACATGTTTGTTCTAAATCGCTCTAGCACCTGTCCTAATTAAGATAGAGAGCTGGGAAAGGTGCCATTTTTCACCATTTTCTATGCTCTTTCTGTTAATATACAACACAGTATGGGCCTCCTTTCACCTTGTCAATCAACCTTCTTCTAAGTCTTCCTCTTGGTCTTCTTCCGTTCATATGAAGCTCACTCATTTTTCTGGGGATTCTATAATGTTCCATTCTTGTAGCCAAACCATCTCAATCTCGGTTTCTCTACTCGTTCTCTCAAACTTTCTTCTACTATTCTTCTTCTCAACTCTTTTAATTCTATCCAATCTTGTTTTCCTTTTAATACCTCTTACAAACTTCATTTCCCACTGAAATTCAATAAAATAAAAACAAAGAAACCTAACCGCAAACTAACCTAATTCTTTGATGCTAGTTTAATTTTAGTTATGAAAATTGGAAACTTGGTACCGGTACCTAGCTTTTATTAAAAGAAAATCAATTTATAAAAATGTTAGTAGGCCTACTAAATATATATATTATGATTATTGAGCTTAAAGATCATTGACTTTAAGAGATTCTAAGGTAGGCCTAGTCTTCCCATCTTAGTCAAATGAGCTATCTGTCAAAATATTATTTTCTTAGTTGATTCAAACCTATACTTGATGTGACATAAAAGGGGCTATAGCAGATAAACAATTGCAGCTGCATGAAGTATTTTTCATGGTAGGTATAATAGATTAAATTGATCGCCATAAAAAGTGATAGGAATATCAATTAAGTTTTTCCTTGGGGTTGGTTTAGTGGGAAAAAAATCATTTAATCATTTTGGAACTAACGGTTTGTCTGTAGTCAATAGTGGACACCTTATGTGATCCACCCTGTAATCTTACTTGAAGTTGACAAATGAAAAACACCGTGTTTTTTAACAAAGTTTCTTACAGGCAAGAAGAAGACGGAGGCAAACCAGACAATAAGACCTCTCCTTTTGATATAATCCTACAGCGGTGTAGCTTAGCAAGTGCACTCCGCACAGTGTATGATGACCTGATGTCGACTGGTCTCGTGAGATTAC